GGTGTCTTTAAATAGGCTGAATTCCAGTGGTAGCATGATAGGTAATAAAGGAGATATTACGGTCAGTACATTGTTTCAATTAATATTAACCTAATTACTTGTCAACAAGTAATCATCTGTCTTAGTAGCTAGAGTTGAAATTAATGCTAACTATGAATAATCTTATTTGATTACTTGCCTTTTCTGTAAAGTTTAAAGACCTCTGTTCTTAGATATATGTAACTAAAATCTTTTACTAGGGTAGCTGTATTTTTATTTTAGTGATTTATTTAATGTCTTGTATCATCTATAACAGTTTTTAGGAACTGAAACTAAGTCTCAGAAAAGAATACAGCATTTTACCTGAATATGGCCCCATTTTATGGTTTATGCATATTTTAAGCCTCTAGTAGGGAGAAAAACAGCACTTTTGAATTAAAAGCTGGGTTTTTTTTACTCTCCTTCGTTGCACTGTATCTGTGAAAAAGGCAGTTAAAGTAGGTAAAGTTGCTATACCATTAAAGCTGAATGTATTCATTTTTATAAAAGAAAAAAACAAGTACAGTACATGGCTATATCCATCCACATTAATCCAGCAAATGTAAGAAAACCAAATGTATACGTGTCATAAATTCAACAAATGAACAGATGGAATATTTTCAAAGTGCATGTGGGGAGGAAAACAGAAGGTTGGGAACAAAGAGAATTACTGGATTTTTTTGTATGAAGTTTATATTTAATGTCCAGTATTACAGAGCAGAAGGAATGGTCTTGTAGCTAATGATTTTGATTAGGTCTTAAAAGTTCTGGGTTCAACTCCTATTTTTGCCACTGAGTTTGTAGAACTCTAGACAAATCATTTACTATCTGCCTCAGTTCCACATCTACAAAATGGGAATAATATTTCCTGCTTTACAAGGAAGATTAGGATGAATACTTTAATATGGGTGAGGCAATGAGATGTTATATCAATGGGACATAGGCATTTAAATGCAAAAGTTCCAGAAATCTTCAAGCTGTTCTGACCATAATGGTCCTGAGTGTTTAGAGGCATGAGATTAATACAAATTTGATATATCACCAGTTGAACAAGAACACAGCTTTAAAAATACACCAATAGTGATTTCTGTGCCCTAAACAGCAGCTTCTACTGTACTTTGTTGAATATTAGAACATGTTGCCATCTGGCTGATTTGCAGGAAACATCCTTCTAGGTTTCAAGACCCACTATATATCACCCATATCTCACTCCATGTCAGCAAACAATGAAAGCATAGAGTGTGCTGCAAATGTTTTTCTCATTGTAAGACAATCAAAAATGTTTTGCTTGCTGTTATGCAAAATCACTTTCGAGGAGACAACCAGTAAATTGTTCAAAAGTACCAAAATGATTAAGGAGCCTACCTGATTTATGAGGAAAGATTAAAAAAACTGAGCCTGTTTAGTTTTGAGAAAAGGAGACTGAGGGTGTGTGTGTGTGGGGGGGGGGGGGGGGGGACCTGTTAACAGTTTTCAAATATGTTAAGGGCTGTTACAAAGAGGACTGTGGTCAATTGTCCTAATCTTGGTGGCCACGGGGAAGAAGTAATGGGCTTAATTTGCAGCAAGGGGAGGTTACATTAACATAAAGTATAAGGGTAGTTAAATTCTGGAATAGGCTTCCAAGGGAGGTTGTGGAATCCCCATCATTGGAGGTTTTTAAGAACGGGTTGAAAAAACACCATTCACGGCTCTAGGTTTACTTGGTTCTCCCTCAGTGCAGAGGTTGAACTTGATAACTTCTTGAGGTCACTTCCAGCTCTACATTTCTGTGATTCCATCTCAGAAACAATCAATGGGAATTAGGGTCCCAAGTGGCTAAATCTCATAAATATGGGACTTTGGCTCCTAAGTCACTCACAGGGCCGGCTCCAGGCACCAGCTTACCAAGCAGGTGCTTGGGGCGGCCACTCCCGAGGGGGGCGGCACGTCCAGCTGTTCGGCGGCAATTCGGTGGACGGTCCCTCACTCCTGCTCAGAGCGAAGGACCTTCCGCCGAATTGCCGCCGCAGATCGCGATCGCGGCTTTTTTGTTTGTTTGTTTGTTTGTTTGGCTGCGTGGGGCGGCCAAAACCCTGGAGCCGGCCCTGGTCACTCAGGTGCTTTTGAAAACTATCACCCAACATCTACAGTTAGGTTGGCCAAAGTGTGATTTAAGGATGAAATGCAGTCCACAGAGTTCTAAAATTTGTGGTTTGTAGTTGCTGTAAGTATAGGTATGTAGTTACTAATATGAGTGAGTGTGCCAAATGAGATGTGATGTTACTATAGGAGTGACTCTACTGAACATAACCAATGTGAGCGAGATGTTTCCGTGGCCCTGAGCAGACTCAGACTTAACTCGGAGTGCAGATGGATCTTCTCTCCAACCAAGCTGACTCCTGCTTGCTAACTCAGCTCGACCGTTGCCCTCTTCTAGTAACTTTAGAGTATAAATAAAGCTGCCGAACCACAGGCATTTTACAATAAATTTATATTCCTTCTATTAAAAAAGTAACATGAACATGCCACTATTATGTGTGCATTTATTTTGATTTTAACACAGAGCAAATTATATGTAAATTAGTTTAATTCTTGAGGCAGAGGGCAAGCTGTCCATTGGGCATTTGGTGTCACGCCTTGATCTGGATGCTAATTTCTGGATAGTTAGTTTCATTTTTCTCTGAGATAAGAAAAGATTATTCTTGTTCAGCCAATATTACTATCATCTCCTACTGCCCATTAACAAGTCCCCCTCACTCTGTAAAGGTGTAAGAGGTGAGGGATGTAATTTTAAATCTGAAACCTTGTGAGGAAAACTTCCAAAGAATCAGCAAATAAATAATTCCGAAGTCCACTGGCAACCCGTTCAAGTCAGTATGTGACAAACTCTGTAGAATGATGAAAAAGATTGTTATTAAGCATAAATGCAAATGACAGAAGTAGGAAGTTTACAATGGTTCAATTGCACATTTAGGGAAGTCACCTAAAACAAATGTAAGGCTTGTTCATTATGTTCTGTGTATAAAACTGATATATAGCTGCCTTTTTTTAAAATGTATCAGGTTTTGCATTGAACATCAGGTACACATTTTTTTCCTTCTATGTAGTGCAAATTTTATCAGATATCCATCTAAGAAGGAGTTTCACATTATGGGAAATAATTGTATACATCAGTGCATATAACATATTTTTATAAAATGTTAATTAATTTATAATGCTCGTTAAAGTCAGTTCTATTTAATTATAATGGCAGTCACACTCCAGGCAATATTACAGTTTGTCCTAGTGATTAATGTGTCTACATTCATTATTTAAAAAGCTTGTTTTCTTAATTTTGCTGGCCTGGGAATATTTCCTACTGAAGAACAGGTGTAAACATCAGCATACTAAAGGTGAAAGAGTAATCTCATGCAGCTCTCTGATATTTTCCAAAGTGGAAAATTCTGCAGGTATAGAGTCTAGAACAAATAATGATGTTATTTATCAAAGGCAAAATAACTGAGGGAATGACAGGGAAACTTTTTTAAAATGGCAAAATAATCTGTCATCCAGCCTGAAAATAATGCAAATATGTGAAATCAAAAGCCAAGGGAAGTAATTAGTCCATGCTGAACTCAAGGACCCCATTCCTGAATTGTCTCCCTCAGGGCCCAATCCTGTGAAGTGCTGAGCATCCTTGACTACCACTGAATTCACTGGGAGCTGATGGTGCTCAAGGAGCTACATGATCGGGCCCTTAGTAAATGACATCTTTCTGTAGCAAGGCAAGACTGAAATTATGGGCCAGATTGTGATCCCGGGGCCTGTGGGTAGCACCTTGCTTCTGAAGTTACTTACTTACTCCCCACTCTAGCCAATGGGGCTATGTATGGAGTAAGAATGGTATTCACCATAAGGAGTTCAGAATCTGGCCCTTTGCCTTTAAAACTGAGGCATGGGAAATCTGTGCAGATGCTTTTATCTTCCTTATTGAAGTGTTTTCCTCTATTTCCTTTCATCTTTTCTTATTTACAGTCCCTTCCTAGGCAAAGGGAACATTGATCTTTATTGCTCTTGGCAGTGCAGATCTAAGTATTGTGTTTCTGTATGTATGATTGTTTCCTATATATTTAAATCATGTTTTACTATAAGGAATTTTGATTGTGATCTGACCAAAAGCAATGCCTTTAGCTTAGCAGATCTGCATTTACTCAATTCAGAGTATGACCAAGAGATGGAGAGGATTTTGTAGGATGCAGTTGTTGAAGACTTGCACCTTTTCCCACTTCTGCACACACCCGTAGTAATAAAATTACCATGAATCTTTCTGGATGTTGGGTTTCAAATGAAATTTCTTAGGGGTTATTAAAATACTGCTATATGTTAAGTATCCCAAGTTCAGGATGATTGTAAAACTATTTTGCCTGTTAGTAAGGGTAAGGAGTTTGAAATGTACTCTGCTCTGGATCTCAGCAGACAACTGTGTCTTAAACAAATTTGTTTAAGAAGAAGACAAGCAAACCGAAAAAAAGCAGCTTTGATAGTTAGTAGCAATTTCCCCTTTTTCTTTCCATTGAGTCTGTCTGAAAGTAGGTGTTTTAACACACTGCCATTTCTCGTTAACATGTGTGTGTTTATTTAGCATGATGGTGTTGTTTTTTTCATCTCCCACTCTGACACAGCATGTTTCATCTATATTTGGTTTCTACTGTATGAGACCTTTAAAATGGCTCAGTGAAGAAATGGATTCTTGTCACTTAAATATTCACTCTCCAGATCTGTGGAAACTTGATCATTTTAACAGTGTTTTAAATTCTTTTCCCTTGATGTTTGAATATAAAACTAGAGAGTGATATGTCAAGAATTTCAAGGTACCCTACTGTACCTGTAATAATCTGTGTTAAGCATGTTTTAATTTATACATTTTACTACATACTTGTATTTACAAATTGAACCATTATTATGCTTCTCCTTTGTTTGCATGATATGATTTTATTTTATATTTTTTTTCCACTCACCAGATGTTTCCAACACTTTGCTTCCCACCACTGTCATCCCCTCACTTACCACTGCAACAGTCACAACCACTGTAGCCTTAACAACCAGCACAGCCACATCGGCAACAGCCATCAGCACCAGAGGTACAGTATTCTTCTTTGTTATGGCCTGAAAAACCCATTATAAATAGGAAATTACAGGGAATTTTAAAGGGGATAGAAAATGCTCAGGAGGGAATTTAAACATTTTGCCTAAATATGTGTTTATATAAAGTAATAAATACATATGACAATAGTTAAGAAGGTTTAATAAAACATTCTTACCACTCCAGCAATGAATGTGTAAACTTTTATAGGGTGACTTAATTATTTATTTACGTTTGCACTTCATTTTTTAAGGTTAGCAAATTTAACTCTTATGTAAAATGAAAATAATCATTACTTTTTAAACTGGTTATTATTAGTAGCATTCATAGTGTTAGTATTTTTATTAATTATTAATTACTAGTAATTAATTATTTTGCTTCCTGGTGCTAATGTGGAATACAAGATAAATATCTTGGATTTGGAATTTCTATAGACTTAATCCTGCTTGTAATACAATGGAGATCTTTCTCATGCTTGTTAGTCTTAAATTTTAAGAAGCTTTTAATTTAAGGGAATGTCTTTATCTTACCTGAGCTACAGTATATCAAATGAATTTTCTTTTCCCTAGATCCTATTTTAAGATGATGTTTCTGGTAGTGTCCTGCCCTGCCTTGGGACAGAATCTAGATTCAGTTCCTAGGCTTACTCTCTTATTCACAGGCCCTGCACATACTGGAAGTGTTGCAAAGGGTACTTGGCATTAAAGGATTGTGTGCCTTGCTTCATAAACTAACATCTCCCCTCTCTGATTAAGGAGCAGTTTTCATGTAGTCAAAAAAAAAAAAAAAAAAAGGTAGTGTAACCTCTGAGTTAGGCTTGAAGTAAAAAGTGGGAGGAGGATCTTCCGTCATCCATTGAAGGCACCAATGAATTAAAGAGAGAGAGAGAAATTCATTTAAATACTGTCAAGACATATTTCTATAATGAGATGTAAATCTCTTGGGAAAGCTAGGACTACTTATGTTCTGAAAACCTTTCTCTCTAGAAGCATTTTCATGATAAACACATTAAAACTGTTTTTAAGTTTATGACCTAGCAGCTGAAGCACTGGACTGGGAAACAGGAGACCTGGATTTTATTCCTGGCTCTGCCACTGGCCTGCTGGGTGACCTTGGGCAAGTCACTTTCCCCTCCCTTTGCCTCAGTTTCCCCATTTGTAAAATGGAGATAATGACTTTGCCTTTGTAAAGATCCTGGAGCCCTATGGATGAAAAAGTGCTATATAAGAACTTGGTATTATTATTATTTGGAATGGTAGGATTTTTCCTGAACCTGTCTAAAACCAGTGTAAAAAGATTAGGCAATCCTGGCAATGATATCCACAGTTGTTTCACTAATAGTGCATTAATATTTTAGTACTGTGACCTCTGCATGAAATTAAACTGACCTACAATCTCAAAATACATTTTTTTATTTTATTAATCCTCATACAATGTCCACAGTGTGAAAATGCGTGACCTTCTTAATGATAAGAGAAAGCGGAAAACACTACAGAAATATCTACCAACTGTAAGGAAGGAAGGGAGATGTTGTAAATAGCAGCTAAGCACCAAATGGCCACTTTAGGGCTATAGTGGCTTGTCTTTCTTAAATTAAAACGCTGGCTATTAGAAAAGGGGGACGTTTCCTATAAAAGGATGATTCTACCCTGTGGAGTTTCTTTAGGACTATGCCTTTACACAGGAAAGTATTTGGAGGTACTGGCTGAATTCCCACATTGTTGAGGGCCAGAGATGTGGATGAAAGACATTTCTACCTTTTTCAGGCTGGAGTCCAGTGTTCTGAAATAGACATTTTTTTGGTTGCTGTATGTTGCCGTAATCACTGAGATACACTAAACTACTGATGTCAAAACTGTATCTTTCTGCATCATGCAGTGTTGCTTCTTTGCATAGGATCTCACTCCCTGGCTTCTTAAGTGCTAATTTTGATCATTTGGGTGTTCTGCATTATGGAATGGAGGCGTTATATCATTCCTATGAGATGCCTTTTGAAGAGTTATAACATGGGTGTAGTTTGGATGGGCCAAGGAGGCATTGCCCCCACCCCACAAACTGCAAACCTCGGGCAGGCGCAGAATTCCTTCCCTCCCACCCCCGTGCGAGCCCTGTTGGCCTGACAGGAGCTGCCTCCCCAAATCTAGAAGTAAAACTATGCCTATGGTTATAACATAGGACATGTAGCTCCTATACTTAAGAGTGTGCCTGGAACATCAAATCATTTTATGTTACAGTAATTCCATATCTCACTGTGCCTATGATATATTCTACTTATTCCACAAATGAAGTAAAACTGACAGTTAATTCTAAAGTTTTGTGAGCCAGGTGTTGTCTTTGTTTGCCTAAAGGTCAGCAAGCAATACGGAGAAGTTCCTGTGTCTCCTTCAATAACTAACATTATATTTTACAAAAGGCCTCCGTAGTCAAACTTTTCACTCGCTCACATGCACACCCACATTCATACTTGAACTTATGCTGAATCCTGTAAATATTAAGTGACATCCCTTTGCTTGTGTATTACACTTCAACTTGGAAAATCGGAGTGCAATTTGATGCTGGGAAAGAGGGGACTCCTTTATAAATTTGTCTGGCAGGTCTTAAGCCTTAACTGCCACGTTGAGGAAAGCATAACAAAATGAGACCAAACTGTGCAGAAGAAAGAAATCTAGAGAACGGAAGAAAGGACAAGTACATTGTATATGAAGAGTTTCCTTTTTACCAGGTTTTATGTCCCTTTGCCCTGCCAGAACAGCACAAAGGGACCCAAGTGGACAGCTAAGGAATCCCCTGAGCTAGTATGCCTGGCTCTGTGCCACACTCACAGCCCTCCAAAATGGAAGCCCCTTCTCCCTCCCAGACATTATTTCACCAGTCTTTTTTCCCTTCACTGTTCTTTCTGTAGTTAAATCCCTTTCCTGACTGTCAGGAAAACAGACACAGATCTTGTAAGCCTTGATAGCCGTGGCTTAAACTGTTAAAGAGCTATAACAAATATAATACAGGTATGAGTATAATAATGTGTGAACAGTCAGATAGCAAAAGAAAACAAATGCATTATTTAATACATTCAATTATATTGCTCATATGTGGGTGACTGACTCACTTGTGAAATGATTGTGCCAAAATCTTCAAAGCTTTATAGAGCAATGCCTCAAAACATCTCCAAAAGTCATTGCACATAATACAGGATACAGTGCTGCTTCCTGGCAGCTGCACTGGGAACTTCAAGCGTTTGTGTAAAACATTTCACTGCGCATCCATGCCCACTTCACTTCTTTTTTTTATTACGGCTCTGGTATAAAGAGGTATAAATGACATCTGTGGAACTAAATATAAAAATGGGTTTACAGTAAATTAAGGGAGGTACTAAGTGTTTGATCATTATGGTTTAGTTTAAATTAAATATGACTATTTTTATTTAATCACACAGAATTTCAACAGTCTGAACTGTTAGATTACTCTCATTTTTTCTCTCCCCTTTCCTTTTTATCTTGGTGTCGGTATAGGAATAAAAAAATTGACTAGAGCATCTGTTTTAGTAAAGCAAGTTAAACTGTAAGAATTACCTGGGCAGTGCTTCCATTCCCCGGCTCCTTTGATATCAAAAGAATATTCAGCATTATCTGTTCTTTGCTTGTGCCTTCATTTTTCTTCCACATGATCTCATTAACGTACCTCAGTACTTTGAGATATTGACAGAGAGATAAACCACAAAGCAACAGAGAAGTCATAGAATATGCAGGGGCAAAGAGGCCCAGCACTGTTAAACAGTGACTGAGATAAGGAAAGAGTTATATCTCAAAGATAGCTCCTGTATGTTTACTCACATTCACCACTAATAATAAATAGAGCTATCAGTGTGTAATCTTAAAAGCAGTTTTGTCTGACAGCATTTTAAACAGCTAGTTGTTTTATAGACTACTTTATAACTGTGTGGCTGTAACTTAAAAACAAATTTGTGTCTGCTTTCACTCAAACCAGATAAGGAAATTACAACTCTTTTCCTCTCTCTCTTCCCCAGTTTTAATCAGCTCCCACCAGTTTACCAGCCTCAGGATTTTCCTACAGACCTAAACATATGCAGCCTAAGTCCAGAATATGGACTACTTTGTACGCTAGGATTTTTTTTTTCTCCAGAGATCCTGTCAGATGCATTAGCATCTACACTAGGAGAATTGATTCCCACCCTGTAATGACTTGATGATTATTTTATGCTCTTTTCTTTCCCAATCTCCTTTGCTCTGTTTCAAGAATGCACTGAGTCTCCAAGCTGCAGCCAGACTTCTGAGATAGAGTCTTAAAATTGGAGGTCTCAGCATATCCCTGGAAACAGAAAGAAACAGAGAGCAAGACATCTGAACTTAAAGAACAAGGTTAACCCTGACTCCAAGATCAAACTACAGAACTTCTTTCCTAGTTCTAAAACATCATACTAGCATGGAGGCTCAGTCCAGAAAAAGTCCAAATGGACTTTTATGGAATGTTGGGGAATTTAGGACTGTTTAAAAAAAAATCTAATCCACCTACACAGCAGCTTCAGGAGGCACCAGCTGTTTATACAGAGGTTCCAAAATAGTTTTGTCTTCACTTAAGCAAAGACATAGGAATGTTACCAGCTCTGCCTCTTTCTCAGCATGCTGCATGTTTTTTCCCTGACTGCACAAAAGCTCCAAGATGCTACAGCCCTACATTTAGGAGAATTTCCGATTTGAGGGTCCTATGTGTTGAGAGAAACCCTTACATTTTCCACAAAGAAAATGGGATTCTCTGAAAATCACCCACAGAGAATTCATCTCAAAGATTGTAAAAGGATAAAATGTTACCTTCCTTCTGCTCAGATTCCATGTACAACAGGCAAAAAAGTGTGGCATGTGTTTACACCTACACAGGCCTTCTAAGATATATATATAAAAAGAGCTTGATGCCTTCAGTGTCTTATAACCTTTAATACTGAAGTTATCAATCTCTGTATAAAGCCAGCCATCAACGAGTCTAAAA